CCCAAATTTTGCAAAAAAAAAAAAAAAAAAAAATGAACAAAGTGGACCTGCTCCTTTTCTTATGCTATTTCGCTATTGAGAGACTGTGGAAAAAAAATGCCCGTCGCCGCGGTTGCACAGACGGAAGGGGAGGAGGCAGCAATGATAGAAGCAACAATGGACGAGGCAACGGTGGACGAAGCAAGAGGGGGGCCAGTCCCAATCGCGAGACGAAGCCTGCTAATACACAGCTGGGGGAAACGAATCAAAGAGAGTCGAATGGCGATTCTTCTAATTCAAAGGGGAACCATCATGTGACAGAGGTGGCAGAAAAACATTCGGTTAGCCATACACATGAGGACAGCTCAGCTAATCAGGGGGAGCTATGCGAGCGCGTCAGGACAAATGCTTACAAGTACAAACATTTTTACCACAAATATTGCATGGACGAAGCAGAAGGAGGAGACGAGGAAGAGGAGGGAAGCAGCTCAACGGAAGAAAACCCCCTTTTGAAGTGTCCCCCGTTGAGGGAGCGCAGAATATTCAAAGTCATTAAGGGTGATCAACAAAGTTGTGAAGAGGTAGCAGCCCCCCCTGCAAGACAAAACGGGAGCGACAAAATGAGGAACTCGAATGATGGGCGCACTTACACCTCGCTGTATTTCCCCTCCGTCGGCGACACGAACAGTGAGGGGGGTAGCGGCAATGGGGGGGACGATGATGAGCACATTGCAAGCGCTTCCCCATCCAAGCAGAAGGGACAGAGTCCCTCTGAGGAGAATGCTCACAACCAGTTACACCCCTGTCGCGGTGCACTCCTGGAGGGGACATACGTCAGCAGGGGAACGGAAATGAAGAAGGTGAAGGAGATGAAGAGGGGGAGAAAAAAAGACCACTGTGTTTGTGTGCCCCCCCATGGGATGAAGTGCTCGCATTCGAGTCATGGAAAAGACAAAGCAGTGAGTAGGTACAGAGTGACCTCACTTGAACAGCACATCAGATCGGCCCTCTGCAACGTGAAAAAACAAAACGAAATACTTAGCTTCATAAATGATACTTATAAAACGATTGTGATGATGAGCATTTTGTCCATGCTGGTGACCAAGGGCATTCTTATATGCTCCTTTCTGTACTCCCTCCAGAGTGTGCCGGTCGCCTCGGGTCGTCTGTTCCCCTCTGGCATGTTGCCCCTCCTGCAGGTGTGTCACTTTACGCTCTTCCACCTGTACGTCCGCGAGTACACGGAACACAAGCGGTGCGGTCCGTAATGCGACGAAACATTGTGTGACATATGGAGAGGAATTCCCATCCATGCGACGTTACACATTGGCTGTTTCATTTTTTCGGTCCCCGCAATTTTTATTTTTATTTTTTTTTTATTTTATTATTTTTTAAATATAAAACGTTAACCTTAATTACAACTGGGTGCAAGTAAAAACGCGTTTCTTCAGTTCAGGTATAGGGAAAAAAAAAAAAAAAAAAAAAAAAAAAAAAAGTTACCTGACCAAGTCAGGTAAATTTTTCGTAGCACAGTAACAGCGAACATGCATATATATATATTTTTTAACCTACCACATGATGTCGTAAAAATGGAAAAAAAAAAGAAAAAAGAAATACGAAAAGGTGCATTTTTTTGCCCCTTTCATCGGTTGGCCTTGGCAACTCTCTCAATTTCGTCCTTCTTCTTAATGGCATACGAGCTGGAGGACTCATTGGCGCAGTTGATGATTTCTTCTGCAAGGCATTCAGAGATGGACTTAATATTTCTGAAGGCGGCGTTTCTGGCACCTGTACAGATAAGGTAGATTGCTTGGTTTACTCTTCTGAGTGGAGAAACGTCGACTGCTTGTCTCCTAACAACACCAGCTGATCCAATTCGAGTGGAGTCTTCCCTGGGTCCACCTTTCTGCACAGCGTTCACATACACCTGGATGGGGTTTTCTCCTGTCATGAGGTGAATAATTTCAAACGCGTAGGCCACAATTCGAATTGCCTTTAACTTCTTTCCGTTGTTTCTTCCATGCATCATCATCGAATTCACTAATCGCTCCACGATTGGGCAGAGGGCCTTCCTGAATCTCTTTTTCTGGTAGCGCCCGGCGGTGTGCGGCGTGTACACGCAGGCCTTCTGCGACACCGCGATGCAGTCAACCTGTGGGAGCAGGGGAAATCGTGACCAAGTTGGAGGTGCGCATATGCATACAGTATAGTATAATATAGTATAATGAAAAAAAAAAGTCACTCTCGCCTGCCCATTTCCCCGCTCTACGCAGTGAAGGGGAGGGGGTAGGCATTTCCTTATGTGCCCCTCGACTTACCAGTGACAGGTCCGCAATGTTCACATCTTCGTAGGACCACTTCTTAAAGAGCTTAATATCAGCTGTTGTCGATTCCATTTTGTTCTTCTGGAGGTAGCGTACAAACTATTAACTAGGAGAGGAGGGAAGAGATTAAAATGAGGGGGGAATGAAGGCAACCGCGCAGTGCTACTTGGGGTTGAGTTAGGTCAAAAGTGCTACACGGGGGAAGGGTTATAAAAAACCATGCGACATCCACATGGTTATAAAGAGGAACAAAACGTTCCGCTGCTAAAAACAGTCGAGCAGATCATCACATTTATATACATCATCATATGCGCCGGCACTGCTTTTTTTGCTTTACATTTGTTTGAGTAACTTATATTCATGAAAAATCGTACGGTATGAAGGGGGAGCCTATTAAATATGGTATGTGGTCCCTTCACGTTGTCATTCGTGTTTTGCTTACCTTTTTTTTTTTTTTTTTCCTTCTTTTAAACTACTCTATGCGGGAGGTTCATTCAAAAAATTTCATAATAACAAAAGTAAGAGTACACTTTTATGGAGGGATAATAAAAAAAAAAAAAAAATAACAAAGTAACCTTTTACGAGGAAAAAAAAAATTAGGAAACGTCAAAGTTGAGCAGATGGAAACTCTATGTGTTAAAAACGAAAAAATAGAATCCTCCTCTCTTGCATTCTTTTTTTCGCGGATTGTCAAAAGGAATGGGGTTTCCCGTTTCACTTGCTTTTTTTTTCTCTAGCGCTCGAGTAGCGTTTGTTTTTTTCCTCTGTTCATGCTGCAGAAGGGAAAGAATGCGAGCTTTGTGTGGCGGATCTTTTTTTTCATGCGTTTAACCAACGTGGCTCCATTTTGCCTTTTCGATGCTGCAGGTCGCAATGCGGTTTAAGGGTGAACTTTTTGTTTTACCTTTGTTCCGTATGCCCTATATGGCATTATAAAGCTTTGCGTACAAGCAGGTGCGGCTACTGCGCCACGTAAACTCTTTCGTATGTGGAGATTGTGGGATGCATAAAACACCCTTTCGCGTAGGCACCCCCTCTCTCCAACAGGTTCCGCATGATATAATTATATACCGTAAAACCCATCGCGTAAATGATGCCACTCGTTTTTTCCCCCCAGTGCGCTAATTTTTGAAAACCCCTTACGCCTTCCGCGGGTCAGAAACAGGCACGCGGCGGTACCGCAGTGAATGGGGACGCGGCATACATGACGCTACAACGTGACGCGGCGAAAGTGCGCGAGGGCGCAGTTTTTTATCACCTTTGAGCCCATTTCCTTGAGGGGCTACTCTGCCAACGGTATCGCGCCAGCCCGCAATGTCAACCGTACCTACTCTACCCATTATAATATATGCTTTAGGTCAACCTCCATTTCGCGCAAGTTTCCACGTGAAAAGAAAAAAAAAAAATAATAGCGCCTGTGCTGCCCCTCCGCAACGACCACAAGTTAACACGTAAAATTTAAAAAAAAAAAAAAAAAAAGTGAGCTACTTTATAACCATACAGTGGGCAAAAGTGACATTTGTTGGTATTCTCTCATCGGCTCCTTTTTATCATTTCACCATTTTTTGTGTTTTCAGCCCTTTTATGCAATTGGGGCATTGTTGCACCAGAACGGGCATGTAACATTTGTCCAAAGTGACACATACATTTTTGCACAGCGAGGTTAAGTTCAAAATGGGGAGGAATGTATAAATGGCAGCTGTGTCCCCCCATTAAGGGTAATTAACTGTGCAAGGCAGGAGGGGTCTATCATCCCACGGGGGCATCACACACATGGTCGCATTCCCCTGAGTAGCTCGTGTTGCATTTCTGTTTTTTTTAATTTGACTGAGGGGGAAGTAGATCTAATTGCGACAGAAATAATGAAAAAAAAGAAAAACCATCTTTTCACGTCTCTTTTGTGTGAGTTGCCCCAACACGCACCCGTCGAGTCGAGGGTCACCAAAAGGGAAGAAAAAAAAAGGCACAAGTTGTTCCCACTTGTAGCGTGCCACTTGTTGCTACTCACAAAACAAACTAAATATAAGTATCCCCATTCGGTGCACCGTAGCTGTGCTTAAAATGAAAAAAAAAATGGGATTACTCGTTAGTGCAAAATAAGTGTCCCCTCCGTGTGGGTACACAAAGCATGTTACACAAATGCGGTTTGCAACAGTCTTTCGTAGAATTAACAAATGCGAATAAGGGAATACAACCCCGTCCATGGCCGCTTCCTGTGTGTGTAGCTGTGTGCTTAAATGTGCATAGCCAATTCGTTGCATATATATGCAAAAAAAAAAAAAAAAAAAAAAAAAAAAGTCCCAATTTCACCTGACCTGTTAAGGCAAAATTTGTATTTCACTCGTATCGTATTGAACAGTCTAGGGGGAAAAAAAAAAAAAATAGCTACTTTGTCCACTAAAATACACAGCTGTAAATTAGGGAATGTAAAGAAAAAACTAGCCATGTTGTCTACCAAAATGTATAAGCCATAAAAACGCCAAAGTTATAAAAAGGGCAAAAGCTCTACCCCCTACGTACCATTCTGCACACATGTGTAATGTTTTTTGTATGTACAGGTCATAATTTTTTTGCAATAGTGTGTTGAGCAGAAAAGCTAAGTGTGCATAGTTAAAGAGCACAATACAGCTATTTCACAGTAGTTCAATATAGACTTACCTTGAGTCCATCGCCAGGGGGAAAAGAAGGCTCTCTGCCCCCCTTCAAGGTTAGCTCCTTTTTTTTTTTTTACGAGGTATTCTTTGTGGACAGCACAGACAATTTTACCGCTGACTTGTTTAATGTGAAAAGGAAAAAAAAAAAAATAGCGCAGATGAGGTGAAGGTAGCTAAAAAGCAAACTAGCCACAATTGAGTAGATCACTTTTTTTTTTTTTTTTTTTTTTTTTTCCAGCCCGCGTTTGATGTTTTGCATTTGCGACATTTTGCAGAACATGAGTGTTCGGGGGATTCATTCTTCGTAAACTTTTTTTTCATCTCTCGGACACTTGCAAAATTTATTTATTTAATTATTTATTTATTTATTTATTCATTTATTCATTTATTCATTTATTTATTTATTTATTTATTTAATTATTTATTTATTTATTTATTCATTTATTCATTTATTCATTTATTCATTTATTCATTTATTCATTTATTCATTTAACTTTTCATTTATTTAATCATCAATTCATTCATCTTCATTTTGCTCTTTTCTACTTGTACATTATTCTACGTCTATATCTCCCCATTTGACCTTTGTACGCTGATTTTCCCCACGCACGTCGTCCCTTCACTCGTGTCTTTTTCAGCAGAACACAACTCCGTTTGTTCATCCTCTCTCCCACTTCAACAACGGCACGCCGCGCCTGTCCCCACGTCGTTTGCTCCCTTCCCCCCCCTTTTTTTTGCAAGATGAACAAGCTGCTGTCGCTGACCCTCCTCCTCTGCTGCCTCTACTCCGTGGCGGCTGTGAGGCCATCCAACGGGCGATATGAAACTGTGTCGAACAATTTAAACGGTCAGCTAGGAAGTAGGAGGAGTTCCAATAACGGGAAATCATTTAACTTGCAAGAAAACATAAAGTATGAAAGGAAGAATAATTACGAGCTCTTTGTGGACTCGAATGGACAGCTACAACAGGAACGCTTTGGAGTGAAAGAACCTAGACAGGTACTAAAGAAAAATGTAGACCAGTTAAGGTACTTAATAAATGACTTGGAAGTTCTCACAGGGGTGTATACATTCAATGCGAGAGACAAGGAAAAAGTATTAAAAGAAACATTGAAGCCGGAATCTCTTTGCTTTACCATGTTGGGTCTCCTAAGTAACAACATTAATAAGGTGGTCCAAGTGGAGGACTCTCCTATCTACGGACTGCTAATCAAAGGAGAAAGGAACATTAACACGAATGAAGTGAAGAACGAATTATCCATTTATGGAATTTTATCGAACCTATCTGTATACATTGGTGAGTTTAAATTTCCCACTTTAAAAACTGCCCCCTACGAGATCCCATTCCTGGTGGGGTATTACGACAATAAAGGAAACGGGTTCAGAAACAAAACATTTTCATACCTATGCCCGTTACCAACCTTCCTAATTGATGTTATACGAACTACCAAGTTTGGAATGAAATTCAATTTTAATGGTGTCGACTGGGATGTGCAAGAGTTGTTTCCTGCTTCGCTTTCTCACTGGATGGACATACCCTCCATGGTACCTGTTCAGACGGGGGACACATATCAGATGGAGCGAAGGGCTATGGTAGAGGTGCTTACGAAAGAAGCCAAGGATGTGACGTACAGAAAGGTGTTTGACACAGGGGTGGTCGAAGGGGTCGGTATTGTGAAGGCACAAGAGAGGATACTAGCTTCCATTTCCTTTTCTAATATGAGGGAGACGGTAAAAAGTTTTCTGGCCAGCTCTGGAAAAACCTCCATGAATGGACCTTCCTCTTCTTTGTACTTTGTGGCCCTGAGTCAGAAGTTGCTGACCAACATGAAAGACACAGCACATAGAAGAGTGACCCGCGTGGAGGTTTCCAATGTGGTGCAGAACAAGGGTGGGTTCTTGCAAGGGTATAGTCTGAAGCTAACTCTGGAAGACTCGACCTTTGTGACGGTGGAGGCGCTTGTGCAGGGGAAGAACGTGTTGGTACCGCAAGAGATGAAGACAGGCAGTAGTGGAGTCGCATCTCTGGATGTGCCCGTGGCTTACGGACTTGGCGTGGGAGGCGGTTCGGGGCTGACCTACACCTTCGCGGGGTTGGCCTTCGACCTTAGCCTGGCTTTGCCCTACAGCATGAACAGCTTGGCGTCTTTCGTGAAAGCGGTATAGGGGTGTTATATACTTATGCCCTCCATGGCGCGCATCGCGATCTGCCCCCTCGGCCCATTTATTCTTATTCACATGTTACTGTATTTTATTATTATCTTTTTTTTTTTTTGTTTCTAAAGGCGTCTTCCCACGAAGCGTCTCTTCTACGTTTCTGATTATTCTTTTTTTTTTT